GCCGGGGCCCGCGCGGCCCCGACGCTGCGTCCCAAATTTTGCCCCATCCGTGGGGGCTCCACCCGCGCGTCCCCGACGCTGCGTCCCAAATTTTGCCCCGACCCCGCTGCTTTCACCCCACACCGACCACCGTGCCAGCTCCAGACGTGCCATCCTGCCCTCCGCGGTGGGTGACCCCGGTCCCCACGGGGCAGCGGTGGCCGTGGCAGGGGCACGTGGTGGCCCCTTCCCCGCAGTCGTGGTACCCCAATGCCAGCCCTGGTCGTCTTGGGGGGCTGCTGAGACGTTGTCCCCCCAGGCCCATGAACTTCTCCTGGGCTGGCACGTGGTTCCGCTGGGGGGGTTTAAGGTTTAAGGAGTACTCTGACCATTTATTTTGCACTGAAATTTGTAATAAATGCTGTTAAAGACTTCGGCTTTGACAGAGGTAATAATAAATTCACTGTTAAAGACAGTAGTTTAATTCCTTATACCCTCCAATACTGCACAGAATAAACTATATTCATCACCGAGTAATTTTTTACCACATAAATCTTTAAAACTAACCGTTGTAGACTGTTGAGGCTGAAATATTGTGAATTTATTAGATATGCCCATGTAGTATTGGATTCAGAGGTTTCCATTCGAATATATTACAGGGGAAATTTGTGTCTTTAAGTGTGACAATCCTTCCATTTTCCAAAGCCAGCGTTATAACCAGCAGCTCCTCCAGAGTCAACTCTGCCTTTATTAGACAGAGATTTAGTAACGAGCCCCTTGCTAATCTGCCGGGGAGGTGGGGGTGACGTTTCCTGCGATGCCCTGTTTCAAACGGGCGGCAAAAAAAACCCCAAACAACCAAAAAAAAAAAAACCCCCAAACAAAAAAAAAAGCTTTTTGTTTCCAGCGTAACAAACGCCCGACGATTTCCCAGCTTATTTCGTAAATGGAAGTGGAAATTTCACTTGGGGTTGTGACAACGGGAAATATTAAAGCGGAGCCTTGTCGTTAAGCCCGTCCCTCCCCGGCCATAACTTTCACGGGCTGCCGTCGTTTTATGGATCTACATATTATATACATATATATGTGTGCGGGTAGATGGATGCGAGTCGTTTTTGTTTGGGGGGTGGTTAATCGGCAGCAGAGGGAACGAGAGGAGACCTGAGGGTGAAACCCCGATTGCACGTAGGCAAAATAGATCGGGAAGGTTTTAAATCTGGCATCGATTTGCCAAGAGGTGACAGGCAACCCCTCTGCCACCCTCACAACTTGTGATTTTTATTTGTCTGAGCCTGTTGAGCACCCGTGTTTCGAGCAGGCACCCTTGTTTCCTTTGCTAATGTAAAATACCAGCAGACAGTAGAAATCTTTGTTCGTTAGAGAGAGACGGAGATAATTATAAAACCATCTCCCGGTTCATGAGGCGCGGGTAACATTTAAACCAATTGATGTGGTAACATTTAAAGCAGTTATATTGCAAAATGTCACGTACGGTCTAGTTTCATTAGAGACGAGTTAATAGATGGATGGAATTGAAACTCCCAGGCCTGGGCATAAAATAAAAAGTTTCCCTTTGCCATAACTCAGTCTCCCCGGCCGCCGCCGTGCCCTTCCCACGGACCGAATCCCCAAAGGTCTAAAACTTCCAGCGCTTCGTCCCCTCTGCAGCAGTCACAAATCAAAGGGTTAAAAATGAGAATCACGGACAACGCAGAAATCCCGCGGCCGGGGGAAG